TGATAATTAAATGGTAATATTTCGGCAGCAGGAACTCACCCCTTTCTAGACATCAGGGAATCCACAACAAAGAGCAACATTGTGAATGCCCTAGGCAGAGGAAAAGCCAGAATTTACTGCTTACTGGACAATGGAGAACCCTGAGAAGAGAACCTTAACCTTAAATGATTTCCATTAGAGGCTGAGCTCAGCTTGCACTACTTTTCCAGGGGCAGTAACAAAAAGGTCTCTCCTATTTTGTTATTTATTTTCAGGAAACTTCTAAGAATTTTGCATAAATTTGTGAATCACTTTGAGAACTAACCACCTCTGCCTCATCTATGTGAAATGGTTCAACTGTTTCAAAAGACTGTGAGGAGCCAGTGAAGTCCACAGTATGGCCACAGTATGGAATCAACCTTAATTTCTTCAGGCTAGAAAATAAAGCAACACCAGGGCTGAATGCAGACTGATGTTAACATTCAGTACAGCCTCCCTGTGGGGACTTCCTACAAAAAACTGCTAGTGTTATCTTGGCAGAAGAAGCTGTCTGAGTGGCAGAGTTGCCCTTCCAAATTCTAAGATAAGTCACCACCTCTGCCCAGCGCTCCATGTTCCACAAGCATAACATGGGCAGTTGTAGTCTTTGGCTCTAAAGCTTAAAATAGGATCATTTTCATTTCTTAAAAAAACTGAAGACATTTACTACCTATATTCCTTTATAGTGAATCTGACAGGTCCTGGATATGCAAATGTTGTTAGTAAATGGGTGTAACACCTCAGCGTAAAGGGAAAGATGGCAGTGTTAGGAGGGATAAATTTGGAACAGCATATATCACTGCCAGAGTCTCCTTTGCACTCTCCCTACAGTTTTCACAGGGGATATTCACTGCCAGTATACCCTGTTACTGCCTACACCCCAAGACTCTCTCCTTCTGGTATGAATGGGATATGGGCTCAGGTGCTGAGTTGTAGAAGTTTTATAAGAAATTTTATGACCATGGAAGTGACTGGAGGATTTTGCCTTTTTTACCAAAGGCAAAATCACTCTGTGGCAGTTTCTGAAACGGCCCACCTAGCAACCTTCAGTTTGTAACATGATATGTTTGTGTGTATGGGGTGTGTTACAGAAAGACACATTGGGATTTGGAGAAGTTGCAATCGTTCAAAAAAGCCTGGGACACCAACCAGCCTACAAACAGAGAACATTATTTCAGTGTTACTTCTGTCCTATTGACTAATTCTTAGAACAAACACACTTTACAAAATTCAGACTTCAGCTGTGTAAGTGGGTAAAAAGTGGAACTTTATGAAAGCATGAAAACAAATACTGCTCTAAATTAAAAGTTTGTCTCAGTCTGTGCCATTGACTCCTTCCCCTGCCACAATGTGATTTGCCTTGACATTCCTCTTTTTTTCCCCTATATTTTAATTGTAAATTAATCACTGACTTGGACATCTCTCTACTGCGCATTAATATGGTTGGTATTAACAACAATATTGCTCTCCAGGCATTTGGAATGTGCAAGACTTTTTGTGCACCAAATGGCCCATATTAACTTCTGGAATAGTCAGGTGCAAACTCTATTGCAGTGTTCAAATTAGTTCAATTTCTCTAACTGCTTCTCCTGTAATTGATGGCTCAAATTATAATAAAGTACAGTTCCTCTACATGATATATGTTACAACTACTGCCTGTTATGCTGAATATTGCATTGCTTTGAAACTGCATTACCCTCTACCTACACCGATCAGATCTTTCTTTTAAAGGATCTACTTATGAACCAGAAAGTGTCTTCACATCATTCAGAAATTATACATATGCTCATGCACTTTATCAGCAGCTGACAGAATGGGGATGGCAAAATTACTGTCAGTCACGTTGCATTCAATCTCACATAAAGACCTGCTTTTTACTATACCTTAAAATTGACAATAAATGCCAGTTGTCTCTCCTTGTCCCATTACTGCATCCAGACATAGCTAGTAATGCTTGAAAGATACGCACCTCCATCTTAACTGCTTTTAAATTCCAGCTTCATTCTCTCTTTCTTCTGCATATACTGTTTTTCTCCTAAGCCTGCATCTGAAATACTCTTTTTACAATTCTCTTGTTCTGCTCTATGATTACAGTGGGTCTTTTTTTTTTTTTTTTTTACATGGAAACAAAGATTTGTAAAAAACAAATAGTCAACCAAATCCCAATGGCTTATTGACCCCTAACTGTTTCAGTCCAAAGGTCATCCCCAGTGGGAAAATTTGGAAGAACAGGTGCATTTGACTTTGGGGGCATGTACACCTTCAGGCGTGGCTACAGTCTGGACCCTGGAAGCTGCCTCTTGCTCATCATGAGTTGGCAGGTCTGTTCCAGCACTCAGAACATTGGGAGCTGCTTGCAGCTGCTCAGGGAAACCAGCACTAACAAGAACATCAATTTCATTGCACCACAACAGAATATGAAGAACTTGTAGTTCATCAGAAATGTATTTAGAAATTTGATTTTGATCCAATATGGACTGAAGCCAAATTTAAAAATTACAACATTTCTAACAAATTAGAAAAGGTGTGTTTCTGCAAGCTCCAGTTATAATACTTTATTTCTTCTTTTAGCAGAGATTAAAATGTCTTCTCCTACGCCTGAAGACCCATATCCTCAGTTTATTCACAGAAAAAGAAGTGAAGGGCAGGTATTAAAGAGCAAGAATCCTCATCCAGCTTGCTTTGCCAGTTGTTACAGTATGAAATTAAGGATCCTCCTCCTCCCAGTTCATGATGGAAAGGCACATGGCAATGTGCCCCACGTTTGTGGGGACAGCAAAATTGGTGCTGAGTTCAGTTAAACACTGACCACAGTCACCATAGATGTTGTGCTGCAAATTAAAATATCATCTCAGTGTTCAGTAGCATTCAGAAAGGCAAACTGTGTTAAGAACTCTTATGAAGGGAACTGAGGAAAAAAACACCATAGAACATCACTAGGCTGTTCTTCCCGTTAAATTTCAAAATGATACAGTAGAACTGAAAAGGTAAGGCACAATTTCTGAACCAGGAGAAACTAAGTATACTGCATGTTTTGGGCACAGTGAAGAAAACAGTGCAGTAAGAAATCTACAGGTTTCTAAATTCATGGCTGACAAGGAAAGGAGCAATAGAGAGTTGTTATATACTAATTTTCATAATACTTGAACTAGTGACACTATTAAGCAGACAATTTAAAATATGCAAAAGGAACTTTTTTTTTTCACACAATAGTTATAACACAGAATTCATTGCCACAAGGTGTTGTGTAAACTAATCCAAAAGGATTCAAAAAACAATCAGTAAAATTCATAAAAGTTCATCCAGTGCTCCTAAACAGAAAGCTTTAGCACCAGTACTCCAGAAGCAAGTGCCTAAGCCCCAAAAAACTGAAAATGGGAAAGATGTACCTGGGCACTGATCTATCCACATTCACCAGTTCTTACATTCCTTACATGAACATCTAACACTTACTACTGTTAGTGAGAGGATGCTGGATTTGATGATCCATTCAGGATGATTTTATATTCAAACAGATTTCTCTGAGATGTTCAGGAGACAGAAGCCATGAAAGTACCTCTGTAAAAAGATACAATGGGATGTCAGAAAATTGGCAGGTGATCAGCTGTTTAGCTTTCCTGAATAGTTCAAAGAACCAACAACTTTTAAGAGGTGACTGTTATCTGAGCAGCAAATGCAGTGGCAACAGGTCTTTCTCGTGCCTTTTTTTGCTTCCTCTGACTAAGCAATTAAAAGGCAAAAAGTTTACAGATATACGTTGCCTTTAGGTAAAAGTTTGCAGATGCAAATTGTCGTTAGGCAAAATATGTTCATTTATTATGACACAAACACACAAACAAGAAATATACACCAAAATGTATTATGGACTAATTATAATACTCAGACACTCTGTTCATACCCAGTGACTTCCAAAGATACAGCCACCAGACTTCCAATTCTCTTGAGAAGAAAATCCTCCCATCATGACTGGTCTTTCAAAACTCACGTTGCAAACAAGTTGATAGAGAACAAAAGTAAATGTATGTAATGAAACTGTCCGACAATCCTAATTATAAAATCACTTCAGTGACTTCACTGTTTTCATTATACCCAGGGACCTTTGATTCCCGTTCAGTACCCTGCACAGGCAATATTTGAATATGGTCTTGCAATGCTTGTTGTTAATGCATGTTAAAACAGTTAATACTCTCCTGAGGCAGCTTTAATGTACATGATTGTTTCTTGGCTTTTTGTTAACTGGTCTTTCTCGAGAAGTAGAGACAAGGTTCTCACATGTGCTGTGCGCCAATGGACTGTGCTGCCTTAGTGCACATTCTGCACCCTTTCATCTGCTTTTGTGTCTGGCATTTCTTGCAGAATTCCCAGTTTCGGCCTGCAGGAAGAATCCGGAAGATCCACAGAAAATCCACTGCAGTTCTTAAACCATGATCAGCAAACAGGCAGTCATAAAGACAGAACGCTGCTCTTAAATTAGTTCCTTGCAATAAAAGCAGCATATAAACCCATACTCTAGACAAATACGAGTTTTACACCTGTGTTTTGTGCTTTAATCAGCTATTTGCACAGACCTTTCTCCCTCCTGTGCCTTGCCTGGCTGTGGTTCAAGAAGTTCACCACAGGCTAGATGCTGCAGTGGTGTGAGGGGGCGGTCAGAGCCGGTCTGTACCTGCACCCCAAGCGGAGAAGGGCACAAAGCCTCGGTCCCACCCTGTGTAGCAATTATCTACAGAGCCGACACGACGCGGCTCAGCCAGGCGAGGCGGGGCGGGGCGGGGCGCGGCGGGGTGGGGTGGGGTGAAGTGAGGCCGCCCGCCCTCCCCGCGAAAGCCGCCGCACTACAACTCCCAGCAGGCATTGCGCGCAGAGGCCGAACTCTCCACTGCAGACTAAAATTCCCAGCAGGCTCCGCGGCCGGCCGGCGCGCGGCTCCCACCAGCCTTTGCAGAGCGGCCTGGCCCTCCCCCCCGCCCCGCCGGCGGGAAGACTACATCTCCCAGCAGGCCTCGCGACCCCGAGCCTCTCCATTTCCGGGAGCGGCGCCGCGTCCGTCGCTTGGCAGAGGCGGCGGCGAGCCGGAGCGGGCCTGGCGCGGCGGCTGCCCGGAGCGCGGCGAGCGGGGCCTCCTGGAGCCGGCGGCGGTGGAGGGCAGCGAGGCCGGGGAGGTCTCCGGGCGGTCGGCGCCATGCTGAATATGTGGAAAGTGCGAGAGCTGGTGGACAAGGCGTGAGTACGGCGGGGCGCGGGCGGGCGGGGCGGAGGGGTGCCCGGGCGCGGCTCGGCTGTGGCCCCTCAGCCGGGGCCAGTGCTCCCCCCGCCCCCCCACAACATGGCCGCTGCCCCTCCCCCTGCTGAGGCGGCTGCTCACACCCTCTCCGTTCCCCGCTGGCCCCTTCCCCGCGCCCCCTCCCCGCCTCCGTCCCAGCTCCCCGCTTGCCTGCCCGCCGTGGCCCCCTGCTCCTCCGGGCGCGGCTCGGGCCCCTCCGGCGGGCAAGGGCTGCTTTCCAGGTAGCCTCTGGCCTTTCCATTATGGCTGGCTGCTTTCCTGCCCCTCTTGGGCTCGTCTGGGCCCTTCCAGCCCTTGGGGAGCTGTGCTGCTTCTTTGGGTGCCCCCTTCTCTGCCGGGGCACGAGGGGTGTGTGCCCATTTGAGTATGTAAGCTCTTAAAATCAGTCTCTACTGGACTGGCTCCTGCCATGGCTCCTAGGCCCCTGAGGAGGAAACAGACAAGTCACTCGAAGAAGGAGGGGGAGTAAAGAACCACCTGTACAGCAGTGGGTTTTCAGAGTGCTTCCAAAGTCACCACATGCTCTCTTGAGTGCTTTCCTCCTTCCTGAGGACAGGTTTCTACTGCAATTGCCATTGACTCACCATCCCTCGGCCTTTCAGAGGTGGAGCATGGTAGCGGAGTGAAATGCTCTATCCCACCCCTTAAACATTTGAATAGCTCAGATATTTGCAAGTTTTATTTCCATGACTATGACTTCCTCCCACTGCGATCTTGGCTCTGGTCTTGGTTATCATGATAACTGTGTTGCAGCTTGAGAACGTGACATTATTGTTACATTTCTCAGCCACTCCTTTATTTTTGGCATGAGACAAATTTGATATGATAGAGAACTTAAAAGATTATGTTTTGCCTTCTTAAATAATGAATCCTTAGGGGCAAACTTGGAGCCCTTTTCCATGAATTGTGGACTACTGAGAGGAATAACTGGCTGAAGTTCTATAGATAAGTGTATACCAAATCAGATTACATGAACTATTAGTTGTATCGAGCCTTAGAAGTCAAAGGATAAGTCTTCCAAAATTGAAGTTCTGTTTTGAACATTTTTTAGTTTTTTTTCTCTGAACAGTTCTTAAACTGGCCTGCTTTATATATGGGCTTAAAGACAGCAAACTGAAGAGAAATGGCAGCTTATTCATGATACTTTTCCTTATGGTCCTCTATACCTGACTGAGACTTTTCTAGGCCAATAATCAGATATTTAAGAACCACTGTGAATAAGACTTCTCCTGAGGAGGTGGTTTACTTTTTACAGCTTCTTGCATGCAAAGTCAGCCCTTGTTAAGGTAGTTTTAATAATGTGACAAATGAGGTATATAGTAGAACAACCCAAATAGGCCTGTCTCAAGTTCTAGAACCTAAAAGGACACATTCAGGGAAATCAAGTTTTTTTAAGTTTTGTGTGTGTATTTTTATTTGTGTGGGATTACTGATCACCACAGCATTATAACAATGTCACTGTTTTTAAAAAGTTTACTTTTAAGGATATTTCCTACCTTATTAAGACAAACAGTACATCAGAATCTGTTTCAGAAAAGACATCTGATTTCCAAAGCAGGTGCAAGAAGTGAACATTTCAAAAAATAAAAAAATGTTTTTTGAATAAACTTAAGTTTCTGGTTTCTGGGAATAACATTATCCAAATAAAGCAGATTGTGTATTTAAAAAAAAAAAGGGGGGGGGTGGAGGCAGGGGGGGAAGTGGAGCCTGCAAAGTAAATAGTATTTAGAGACATCAAAATCAATAGTCCCATTGTGTGTGGTGCAGATTTGTCATAATGTCTTCTGTCTTAAAGCCATGACTTACAGAATTCCCTGCAGAAGAGGCTAAACAATATTATCTGCCTCAGAAATAACTGCTGATGCTGTGGCTTAAACATACTGATCGTTAACAAGAAACTCTTTCCTTAAAAAAGGAATATGATTATATGAGGATTTTGAAAATGTACAAATAGCTTGAAATTTTGCTAGTTGAAACTGATATCTTTGTAGTGGTTAGCTCTGTATCTTGGTTCCATATTCAGCTGATAGTTATCTTAGAATTTCAATTTATTCATCTGGGGATTTTTTATCCTTATTTGGGCTTCAGGTGGCATAACCTGATTAGGTCTGGTTAGGTCAGATATTTCAAGGTGGAGGACTTTTAATAAACAATTTTCAGATTTTTCAGAGTATGAGAGTTCAGTAAGCGATGATACATAGTTAAACTACTATTAATTATTTTTTTCAATGTTTGTAGGTTATGTTAACAGCAAAAAACCTAAGTAAAAATGATAACCTATTAAAATTCCTGAAAGTTTTAGAACCTAAAAGTAAATTAACAACTGCAAAATACAAAAAATCAAGTTTGTATTTAGTTTTATTGAAGTATTTGTTATTTATGTTTCCTTCAGTGTGATAGAAATTGAGCAATCAAGTTCATAAGGTCAATTCTGTTTTCTAGTTCTCTTCACGCTAGAATCACTTCTATTTTTTGTATTGCAGCATTTTCTAGTAATTAAAAAATACGGATCTGCATAGTTTTGTGCATAGACAGTTATTTTTGATACTGAATGGTGGTCCTCTTATATATGAAACTCAGGAAGAATATGTGATAGAGTATTAGATTTAGACTGTTTTAAGATGTGACAAGATACTTTGTGTCTTGTTCTCCTTTTTGTTAACCTCATTGTTCTTAGTTGCTAATATAGCTCCCTCCCCCACCTCCCTTAAATAAAATGTAAGTGCCTTGGTTAGTTATGATTGAACAGTAATACCTTGTTTCTGACTGGGCATAGTGAGTAAGTTTGGGACTTAAACCAAATAACTAATAAAGCCTGTCTGTGCCTAGCAAAATTTGCTTGTCCTAAGCTTTATTCTTACAGTTTTTAAATAAATGTCAAACTTCTTTCACCCTCCAGTTTCTTCCCAGGTACTGAAATGCATGCTAGAGTTCCTCAAATGTGTGGAATTGTGTTGAGTTTCTGGTTAGCTTGTGGTTTAGAAGATGTAGGTCTACATTTTGTTCTTTCTACATTTTTCTCTTTTTTATTTTTCTACATTTCTTATTTCTTCTGGAATAAATTCTATTTCACATTATTATGTGAATAAACTAACTTCAGAGGCAGCTTTCACTTTTTTTTTTTTTTAGATGTTCATTTGTATGGGTTCTTTTTCCACAGTAGGTCAAAACTGAATTGGAAAGTAAACAAAAGAATTGGAAAATAAATGCAGCCCTCTGTGCTCAACTTGTTTGCTCTATAACAGTAAACTCAGTTGAAATGGCAGAGGTTTCTGGTGGCTGAAGTCCAGGGTGGTGCTTGATGCAAAATTAGTGAGTCAGGTGGCAGTTCTGAGTCATTGCTGAGGTAATACAGTAGACTTTCTGTTAGATTATGTTTTGTCATAGACTTAGGTTAGGTCTGCAGTAGAAGAATGTAGCCTAAACATTATATGCAAGAGGTGGCCCATTTTTCCTAACGAGCTGCATACCAACATCTTCACATGACAGAGTGCAGAGGCACCCATCTCATACTTTAGATAGCTGGTGGGAGTGTGAGCTCTAAGAACATTTGGCAGGTAGGAAGTGTGCTGGTCACCAGCTATCCCAATGCTCTGCTGCACAATGGGTTTTGCAGCTTTGTCTCTGGATGACCTGGTGGCAGCAGCCCTGGCTGTTCTGTGGTCCCATTGCAGGGGGTTCAATTACTCCATGTCTGCTCTGGAGCAGCACTGTAGTTGTGATGAAACTTGAGGGTAAGCATTGCATTTGAATTGCTTCTGAGCTGCATGAGTCTAAGGATCTGCAGGTTGGCTAGTACTGTCTAGAAGCAGCTTATATAAGAAATGTCATATTTTTATTGGTATAGCTGCATTTGGACTTCAATAATCAAACCACCAAAGGCCCCAGACAAGTATCTCCCCGCTGTCTGATAACAGAACTGGCAAAAGGTATTGGGGGTCCCTGAGGTATAGTTCTAGTGTCCTGGCTACGGAAATCTAGAGTATTATGCAACTTGTTAACTTCCTTTTTCCATCTTATTAGGCAAGTATATGTTGTGCTTTGTGTTCCCTGTGAAATTTCTAGGGGAGTTCTACAAAGAAAACCCCATGGCTTTTTCAAAAGAAAACAAGGAATATCAAGAAACTCCATTAAAACAGTTTTTAGCTTGGCAGATGTAGGAAGGTATTAGCTTGGTTTTGTGGCCAAGTTCAAAAGCCAGGCCATCGTATATCTCCAGTCTTATTGAATTTTATTTTCTTGAAGCAGAATGTGCTGATTCTTATTTTCCTGAAACATTACTGTATGTTGTTAACCTCACACAAGGTTCTTCTGCTTAAAGCAGAAAACAGCATTTATGCATATATAGCTAGCAAGACTAGTTGGACTCCTCACAGGAAAAATTCCTCTTAATATAGGGTGTCATTGTAACTTAATGTTTTTGCTAACTAGTTTCTGTCACAGACATGTAGGACGTGCAGTAAGCAGGAAGAAAGACCTTTGGACACATTGAGATTAGATTGCTGCATGTATGACATGATGAGACTTTACAGCCACTTTCTTTAAAATTTCATTACCATTCTTAGCTTTTATGATGTTCCACATGCATGATGAGAATGTGAGGGAGCTCATTTTAAGCACCTTCCACACATCAAAGGGTAAGAAACAGTCTAATTAAAAATTTGGTTAAGGTGACAGACCTGTATGTAGTAAGGATGGTATGATCCAGATGTTCATTTGAATTGGGTAGGGTAGGTAGGATAGTTGTCACTGAGTTTTTGAACTTCTTGGATGTGTACTTAAAAAGAGGAGAGAGCCTGTGAATTTCTTGCCAGTATTAGAAATGTGACAACTGCCATCCAGTTTTTTCTGTGTCCTTTCCAGTTCAGTTTGTCCATCTAAATGAGTCCTAACTGCTCTGCTAGTACTGCTCTTAGCCATGCTTTTCTAGTGATCCAGC